GGCCGGGATGGTGAGCGAGGGCCTCCAGGAGTGGCAGGAATTCCTGGTGTGCCTGGCCCCCCAGGTCCTCCTGGCCCTCCTGGTTTCTGTGAGCCAGCCTCCTGCACCCTGCAGGCTGGTCAGCGGGCATTTAGCAAAGGGCCCGATCAGTAAAAGGTTTAGTGCTACTTGACTGTCTGTGTAAGCCTGGTAAAGGAGCTTGGAGGAGAAACAACACCCAGAACTTGGGATAAGAAGATAATGTATTACTCTCAACAAGATGGCAGAAGTCCTGCTTGTCAATCAGATTTAGAACAATGGTGCTATTCAATAAGTTGTTTTTTCCTTTCCCTTGGAGGGAAGATAGGAGAGTCATCAGTAAAAGATGAAAAAAATCAAATTTAAATTCTATTTAAATAAATTTGCAATCCTCCTCCCAGGATCTTGACCTGTAGTGTGCTATACGCATGTGATATATTGTGGGCCACTGTGCCAATAAACAAAAACAACTGTTTGGTTTACCTCAGTTGCATTACTTATTTCATTTTTAACTTAGATGTTCCCAGACTTTTGATTCAGCTGTATAATGGATTACTAGACTAGTTATGAAGAAACCCTACTACACTCAATAGAATTGGTGCTTAAAAATCCCCATCAATGTGCTACCTTGAGAGTGGCAAGAAAGGGCTGTTACAGGAAATGATTTCCTTACATCTTATACTGGTTTTCATCTTCAGTCTTTTTGTTGGACTGTATGTACTGTACCCCAAACTCAATGTGGGGTTCTTCTGTGTGAAAACAAAAGAGTTTTAATACCCTGGCATTATCCATCAATTATTTATTTCAACGTTTCGAGGTAACATCTCTGGTTGTACCAAAGAAGAAATAAAGATGGTTTCTTAATCTCTTGTATGTTTTCTTATAAATAATCACATTCAATGAAGTCACTGAGCTTATTTTGATACATTAAAATTTAAATTATTGGTATTTCTATTGGTTTATGTGTATAACATTTGGATTTTTTTTTTCTACACAGAGGTATTTTAAAAGCCCTTAAGGGTCCACAGAGGGCATTGCCCTGTGACAGATGGTGTGTGTGTGTGTGTGTGTGTGTGTGTGTGTGTGTGTGTTTGTTTTAGGGTATGTGTGTGGTGGGATGAGAGCTTTATGGACTTTTTAGAAATTCTCAGGAAAGCTACGACCCTCCCCCAAATGCACAGAGGCACATGCATATATATTTTTGAATAGTATTTCAGGGATTCCATTAAATCTAATCTCACTTGATCTCTAGGCTAAGAAACACTACCCTCATTTCCATGGTTTGTTAGCTTCTAATCAGAACTTCATTGCTATAAATATGATTAATATTTCACCATTGCTTACATTTTACAAAACACCTCAGCTAAAGCAACTGCTGTAATTCTTTTATTTATTGAGACATGATATTTGTACAATTTTATGGAGTACATTAAATTACATGTATTGAATGTAATAATCAAATCAGGGTGATAAGCATTTCCATCTCTTCAGCCATTAATATTTGTGTTGAAAATTTTGTATTCTTCTTTTCTAGTCATTTAGAAATATACCATACATTATTTTAACCAAATGTTCCCCTACCATGCCAAAGAACAGCCAGAAGAATTCTTCTGCTCTAACTGTGTTTTGGTGTGCCTTATCGAGCCTCTTTCTATTCCCCTCCTGTCATTCACAGTCCCTATGGAGCACTCATCCATTCCCCCTTTTCTACCTTAGTTTCCATAAATGAGTGAGAACATGTGGTATTTGTCTTTCTGTGTCTGGCTTGTTTTACTTAATCACCTCCAGTTCTACCCATGTTGCTGTAAATGACAGAATATCATTATTTAATGGAGGACTAGCATTTCACTGCCTAAATATATTACATTTTCTTTATTCATTTGCTGAAGGGCATCTGGAGTGATTTTGTATTTTGGTTATTAGGAACAGGGTTGCAGTAACCAAGGCAGTGCAAGTATCTTTTTAGCATAATGATTTCTCCTTTGGATATGTACCCAGTAGTGGAACTGCTAGATCTTATGGTAGTTCTACATTGAACTTTTTTGAGGACTTTAAGGATGCTGGGCAAGTGTTCTACCACTGAGCCACACCCCCCAGCTCCTAGCCCATTTTTAAATTGGATTGTTTGTTGCTTTGGTGTTCATCTTTTTGAAAAAAAAATATATATATATATATATATATATACACACACACATACATACTGTTTTCCATAATGGTTGTACAAATTTACATTTCCTACCAACAGTGTTTAAGAATTCCCTTTTCTCCTCAACCTTGTCATTATTTGTTATATTTTGACTTTTTCATCAAAAAGCCTTCTAATTGAAGTAAGAGTCACTCAACCACTGAGCCACATCCCCAGCCCTATTTTGTATTTTATTAGAGACAGAATCTCACTGAGTTGCTTAGCTCCTCACTAAATAGCTGAAGCTGGCTTTGAACTCAGAATTCTCCTGCCTTTGCCTCCCAAGCCACTGGGATTGCAGGCGTGTGCCATCGTGCCTGGCTTGACTTGCATTTTTATGATGGTTAGTGTAATTGAGCATTTTACCATGTACTTCTATTTGTTTTTCTTCTTTTGAGAAGTATATGTTTAGTTATTTAATACTCCCCTCCCCCGTTTTTGTCGTGCTAGGTCTCAAACCTAGGACTTCAAGGATGCTGGGCAAGTGCACTACCACTGAGCCACACCCCCCAGCTCCTAGCCCATTTTTAAATTGGATTGTTTGTTGCTTTGGTGTTCATCTTTTTGAGTGCATTATATATTGTGGATATATCACCACTTGTTAGCTGAATAGTTTGCAAATATTTTTCCCAATTTGATAGATTGTTTCAATTCTATTGATTTTTAAATTTGGCAGTGCAGAAGTTTCTTAATTTCTATAATCCCATTTGTCTATTTTTACTTTTTTTTCTTTTTGCCTGTGCCTTTGGGGTCCTATCTAAAAAGTCACCTACACTTAATGTCTTGAAGTGCTTTCCTTGTGTTTTCTTGTAGTAATTTTGTAATTTCAGGCTTAACATGTAGGTCTTTGCTCCATTTCAAACTGACTTTTACATATATGGTGAGAGGAAGGAATCAATTTTTATTCTTCTGCACACACACATCTATTTTTTCCAGTATCATTTACTGAAGAGACTGTCCTCTCCACTGTCTATTCTTGGCTACTTTGTGAAAAACCAGTTGGCTGTATGGATGTGAATTAATTTCTGGGTTATCTAGTCTGTTCCATTGGAATGTATACTATGATGTCATATTTACTTTAGCTTTTTAGTATATTTTGAAGTCAAGTATTGGGATACCTCCAGCTTTTTTCCCCCTCAAGATTCTTTTAGTTATTCTGCGTCTTTTGAGGTTCCATATGCATTTTAAGTGTTTTTTCCTATTTCTGTGACAAAAGTCATTGATATTTTGATGGGAACTGCACTGAATCTATGGATTGCTTTGGGAATTATGGTAATTCTAACCATATTGACTTTGGATCTATGGACATGGAATATCTTTCCTATCTTGTGTCCTCTAAAATTTCTTTCATCAAGTTTTATGCTTTTTATTATAGATATCTTTAACTTCCTTGGTTCACTTTATTTCCAAATATTTTATATTTTTGGTAGGTTTTATGATTGGGATTCCTTAATTTTTCCATTAAGTTTATTATTATTGTATAAAAATGATAGTGGTTTTATATGTTGTTTTGTATCCTGAAACTTTACTGAATTTGTTTATAAGTTCTAATTTTTTATTAATATTTAGATTTTCCTATGTATAGAATCATATCATCTGCAAACATGAGTAATTTAACTTCTCCCTAACCAATTTGGAAGCCTTTTATTTATTTTTATTGCCTAATTATTCTTGCTAAAACTTCCATCACTATAATAAATAAGAGTGGTGATTTATTTCTTTCTTCTACTAACTTTGAGCTTGGCTTACTATTGTTTTTCCAAATTTGAAGTGCATTATTAAGTTGTTCATTTGAGGTTTTTATTTTTAATATATGCATTTATTGCTACAAACTTCCCTCTGAGTACTGCCTTTGCTGTATCCCACAGATTTTGGTATGTTGTGTTGTCATTTTCATTTGTTTCTAGGCATACTTTAATTTCCTTTAAATTTCTTCCACCTCCCATTGGTCCTTTATGATCATGTTTTCATATGCCATGTATTTAAATACTTTCCATGCTTCTTGTTGACTTGCGGTTTTATTCTGTTATGGTCTGGAAGATACATGATGTGATTTTAGTTTTTATAAATGTGTTGAGACTTGATTCATGGCCTAACATGTAGTCTATCCTGGAGATTGATCCATATGCTGATGAAAAGAATGTGTATTCTGCAGAGGTTGGGTGAAGTGTTCTGTAATTGTCTGTTAGTGCCGTTTGCTCTATAGTATGGCCAATTCTGATGTTTTGATTTTTCTATGTGGATAACCTATCCATTGAGGAGAGTGGGGGTGTCAAAACCCTCCGGTGTTACTGTATTAGCCTTCTCTCCCTTGAAAAACCATTATGTCCTTAACAATATTTCCTGATCACTCCTTTGTTACTATTTGCATAATCATTTTGGTTTGTTGTTTAATCAACATCTACTTAAACTATTGAATGGACTTGATAGACTCCTTATGTTAGAGTGTGAGTGACTGATTTGTCCCAGGCATAGAACAAATAGTCCAAAATAGTCAATATATATTCAGTTTATGGAACTCAAGTCAAAGGGGTGCAATCCCTAATAGGATCTTTGATATCTATTTTTCCCTCTCATGTACTTCTTATACATTTTAACATCCTATTTTGAGTTATTTGTTCAAATTAATCATCATGTAATTTTTTAGAATGCCTTACAGCATCTAGTTCTATGCTTCTAGCATGTTTTGTGCTTATGGGGAAAGATTCCAACTTAGCTACACATATCATTATAAAATTGATATATTTTTTTCAGGAGCTATGATACATAATCAAAAAAGTACAAGAAATGATTTTTTCACCAAAATGCTTTTATTTTAACTGGAGTAACATAATCAAATACAACAAAAGAAAAATTAGATAATCAAATATGTGTCTCAGTTCTATAATATCGTATTCATAAGAAAATTTAAAAAAATAAAATTTCAAAGAACAGTTCACTCAAATGTTTTACAAACCTGATATATATATATATCAAGGCTGTATAGCAAGCTCCACAAATAAGTAACATTGGAAACAACACCTTACAAATAGATTATGCAAAACTATCACATTTCAAATGGTAGGAACAATCCATTAAAAATTTTAGGTACGTAAAATAGTCTACAGAAACACTAGATACTTATAAATTGCAAATAAAAGTGCCCAGCAAATCCTCTCCACAAAAGAGAGCTGATAAATATTGAATTAGACCAAGAATGTCTCTCTAGCAAAATAGAAATCTCCAAATCCTCTTTGAAATATCTTTGAAAATTGGATGAAGTGTCAACTAGAGCACTTACCAAGACAGGAATGTGTAAATAATTAAAGTTGGTTATAAACTGGCATGTTAATCAAGAGCAAATGATTCATTTCTTTCTTTCTAGTCAGTGGTTCTATGGCAGTATAATATGATTTTCATCCTAAATATCTGACAGGTTGGTTAAGAACTATGGAAATCATTTCTTGGTCTGAGTACACAAATTCACTGGCACAGTTTTGGTAATTATCTTCTGTCTAGAGGAGTATGAATGAGTAGTCATATCAATTTAAGTGAATCACTCTGAAATACTTCATATTTCAAGCTAGCTATATTAATGTTGCTATTCTTAAATATCATTGATGAGATTTAATTTATTTGGAACCTGAAATGAGCTTAATGTAAATTCTTGCTTAAAGAGATCATCTGTAATTTTATTCTTTAATTTTTTGGCTATTTTTCTGAGGTATAAAATCTGAGTTCAAAATTAAACCAGTATAGGTAGATAATTACTAGAGATACATAAGATCATTCCTAATATCAATAAAATTACTATCTAAGTATTTGCTGGTAGTCTGGAAATAAAGTAGTGATATAATAGTATTAAGAAAAAATACTAGCAAATTAATTGATGTTTACAAATGGGCAATGGACATAAATGATCTTAAATTTCTTTTTAAAAACAATACTAATGTTCAAGAACTATAACTCAAGTCCTTTTGCACATGGTAAAATAAACACTTTATTTGTGAACTTAGTCTTTTGTAGTAGAGTTGTGATGTTGGATGTGATATTAAGTACATATGGCTCAGTATTAAATTGGCTAACAGCAATACTGTCTGTAAATAGGCATGCTCAAATGCTATTTAAACGAGTAAATAATTGTAACATATTTGATGGATCTTGTTATAAGGAAGAGGATGCTGACTGATAATTATTTTTAGTCTTAATAAATGGCAAAATGCTAACTTTCTGTTTAGCATGACTTCACATCTTGATCTTGAATCCAGAATAACTGGCAGGCGGACAAATGAGGAAAATTAGCTCCAAGAAACATTATTTTTGAGGTTTACCTGAATTTGTCTTTGGGCTCCAAGTCGAAATTTTGTGTATGAAAAGACAACAATATTCTTTAGAGAGCACCTAGTTAATTTATCATAAGAGAATCTGAAGATAAGAATAGTTAAGAACTATGTAAATCACTACCCAGTCCAAATAGACAAAACACTGGCATGTTTTGATATAATTAATTTCTGTTAAGAAAACATGCTATGTATTTAAATACTTATTGCTTGCCTATATTCTTATTTCTAATGATTTAAGAACTTATATTAAGAAAAATTATTCATATTTTTTATCTCAGGACTTTTTATAGCAATGATTTTAGTAAGATCATCACATTGGGAGACAAAAGTTCCAAAGGATTGTTTCTGCTTGGAATTCTTATCTTAAATCATTGGACTAGGCTTTTTATGAGTTACCAGGAGAACAGGTTTTAAATTTATTAAAAGCCAAGTAATGATTAATGTGACAAACAAAACTATAATTACCAGTCTGGTATAAACATGAATTCTGCCATAGACCAATTAAGGGTTCTCTGGATGCCTGTGGGATTACCCTTGATGTGCAAATGCTTTTGTAGCTTCACTGTAGTTGAGACCTAACAGAATGGAACTGAAGTGTAGAGTTTCAGCCACAAGAATTGGGAAGACGTAGATATGGCATTAATAACTGCATCCCAGAATTCCCTGAATTAGGGTAACATCCTTTATTGCTGAGACAGACAACAAGCTCATTATGCATAATGAAGATATAGGAATCAAGGCCTCAAAGCATTATATCCACTTGGGATTTAGAATGAAATTGGTGCCATTCAACTTAACATGAGCATAATGAATTAAACCTTATATACTTGGATGAGGTAAGAGAGAGAACCAACTAAATGGAGAAAAATATGTCCCAAATGCTATTTTAAAAATAAATAGTTACAAAATATTCCATAATACAATCTGGATTTAAATACATTAAAATGCTAAGATATTTATCCATAAAGTATACTTTAAAGAATACAGAAAAATAAAATGTAAAATAGCTACATTGTTACAGCTTATTATGGTGAAGCAACACACACACTTCTGTGAAATCTTCTAACAACTACTCCCCAAGTTTAGACTTCCTACTTCATCAGTATTCACTCTGACACACATCATGAAACAAGTAGCTAATTCCTTAAGATGCAGCATTCACAAATCACTATTGGATCTAAACTTGAAATTTTCTACCATTTTGACTTTCTTAGTCTTAGCTTTGGTCTTATGAGTGTTTTTCAGTTAGTTTTTTTTTTTTTTTTTTTTTTTCCTGTGCTGTGCCTACTTGTCTGAATGTATTTTCTCTGTGTTCACATGGTACTTCATTCCATTTTTTTAAAATGACCAGTTAACTCTGACATGCTATTTTGAATGAAATGTTCAGATTATAGCTCCAGCTACATCTGAAAATAAAAATGAAAATAATTATTCTATTTCCTGAGACTCCTAGTAATTGAACACATTTAATGTAATTAATACTACTTTTGCTTGCCAACTAATATATGAATACAATTCAATGAGCTAGGCCATTTTGAAGTAAATAGGCATAAAAGATACTGGTTAAATTCTTTACTGCATCTTCTCTTAGAAGCCTAGGTAATCATTGTGAGATGAGAGGTATGAAAGTAGAGTGCGTACCTCTACACCAGGTAACACCCTCATGTATTAAGAAACAACATGGGGAATCATGTCAGGAAGCACTGTGTCTTAAGGGGGCACAGACAAGTGTGAAAAATATTTCAGAACGAGCAAGGAACAAATCTGCAAAACTATTCTGAGGATTCATGGAAACAACTTCGGTGTATCACTTAAACTCAGAATTCTCGGTCTCAGAATATTATTACTAATGTTAGGAAAAAAGTGGTATTTGGAAAAATAATGCTTCAAGCTTATATTGATAAATAGTGATATATTTCTAGAAAAATGCAAGATTATACAAATATAACTGCAAAAACTTAAGTGTCTTCAAGATGGAGTTTAGACGTGTGATTTTATAAATTGTCTACTTGTGGTAAGCTAAATGCCTTTTACTGTCTGTCAACAGTGAGTATCTTTCCTGTCTAAAAGGCAGAATGACAACTTAGGTGTCTTCATGTTAATCACTAAAACAGGAGGGTAGTATACAAATGAAGTTACAGAAGTAAACTTGCACTTTAACTGCGTATATAGGTACATATTTATGTGTATTCACACTGAAGAAATAAAACTGAAACAATCAGAAACCAAAGGCTGCTGTGCCTGCTTCATAAAGATACTTAAATTAGGAAAAGCATAAATTAACAAAACAAATAGAACTTAAATTAACAAGACATTATTTACAAAAGTCTTTTTTTAAAAAAGCGCAAGAGCAAAAATCTGATTTAATTGACCATTGAACTTTCTTTGCCTGTACTTCTGAGCTTGCTTAGTTTGAATGAATAGCCTTAAACACCATCTTGTGAACAAAAGGAGGTATGTCACGGGTTCCCAGTAAGTGAGGGAGACTGCAGAAAAGCTAAGCCTCATTTAATACCTAAACATATTCACAAGAAATAATAAGCCAAATATCAAATGCCAAATTTTACAGACAATGTATTCTAAAATAATCACTTAAGCTCTGTAAGTGACTAAAATGTAAAATTCTGAACAACGTCATGAAATACAGAAATAAGCACCTGAGGTTATTCACTCAATTACTTCCATCAAGGTGAGGAGTTAAAAAAAGTTGACTGTGTATCTGTTATGGTTAGAACTAATACTGTCCTCAGTTGAGAAGAACAATGAACAAAGGTATTAGTTTTCCTTTTTTCTTTCCATTCTGAAGGCCATAAATACTAATTGAAGTCAAAACTTATTCTTTACAAAGAAAGATTTTGATCAAATATGATAGAAATTTAATAATTCTTTATCCCTGTTGTGGCCATCCCTGACATCTATGTGCAAGTAAGTAAATGTTTTGGACAAAACTAATGGTTCAAGAGAAATGGCAGCCATCAAGTTACTTAGAGGAGAATTTCCTACCCTACTTGGGGCCCAAAGTATCTACTTTTTTTGAAGGGAACTGGGCATCTGCCAGATGGCTACTTCATCTAGTGTTGTGTTCACTGAGCTGCACCCAGTGTTTTCATGCAGCCCCTCTTTTTTTTTTTTGCACGTCAGGTGAATACAGTGGAGGCAGGAAATAGTATATGAAGATAAATAACAACAGGGTGAGAGGCTCGAACCATGTGAACACAGTCCTGTTTCCACAGTTATGTCAAACTTAGTCAAATATTCTATGTAGAAAAAATGAGCCACTGTGACATACTTTGTAGTATGCATCATATAACGTTATATTTTGTCTCCTCTCCTATTCAGATTACCTAAAGAAATCCAAATCCTTGAAACAGGAATAAACCAGTCAAGCATTTGTGCAATTTAGAAAAAGATTCCTAACTATACAATTCATAAGAAAGGATGCATGGCTTATTCTGTAGCACTAAAGTGATCAGAATTTATAAAACAAGAAAATGAATTGCATCTTTTATGTATACAAAGGATTGACTAAAGAAAACAAAATACATTGATCACCCATCGGCAAAACAGTCCAAGAAAACATTGAAATGATAAAATAAATATTTTTGAATTAGCCAAGAGGAAAAAGGATAAATTACCTATTAATATGCAAAAATACTCTTTGAAAACATATAAAACGTTTGGCTTTATGACAAATTCAAGTAAATTAATGTTTCAGATAAGTCGTAAGTGTTCATAAAATTCAACAAATTAAAATCTCAAAATATACAGATAGCACCAAATTTTAAATCTATATACACTTTTTGGGATAAATTATTATTTTAGTAATGCAATACATATGTAAAATGCATATGCATATTCCAATTGTGTAAGTTTAAACCACAGCACCATTATAGGTATTGCACAAGAAACAAAATAAAGTCAATTTAAAGTTAAAAACAGGATAACCTTGGAAAATAAATAAATTGGAATTGAAATATACAGCAAAATTCAACATGAAATAACTAAAAGGTTGTATGTATGCACAGCCATGTAGACAGTACCTGACCAGCAGTTCATTCGTCAATAATGAAAACCAGTTCAAATCATGGGTGCATTTAAATAAACTCTGCCTTAATTTAGGCATGCTCCTCAGGCACAACTCTGTTCACAGCTTTCTCCAATTTCAGTGGGCTTGCTTTTCTAAACTCATTTTTCCACTAACAGACAAAAGTAATCATGTCCAATTAGAATCTGCACTGCTCCTTGAAGAGGTGTGAACTCCTGATTTCTGTGACAGGAGGGCTCTGGTGGTGTGTTCTCTGCATCTGTGGGATCCACCAGCTAGGTTCAGCAACATTCTCATTTCTACTACTCTATAAAATTTGTTGTTTTCAACCACAAGTTTCTCAGAATAGTGTATAGATAGGCAATAAAAATACCATGTAGCAAAACAGTTGACGATCACTGTGTCTTCATTTCCTCTCAGAGGATGTGGTTTTGGGGAGAGTGTTAGCTCTTTCATCTGAGTGCCAGTTGCACGTGTGGTCTCATAGCTTTCCTTTGCCATGCCAAAGCTTCTGGAGAAACATTATTCTCCTTAGGAGCTTTTGGGCTGCACCTTCTCAATATGCATTTGTTGACACCACACATTCATCCGCTAGGGCAAGTCGGTTTCTTCTTCGGTTGCTACAAATCTGTCCTTGGTTCGGTGGCCAGTTCTTGTCTTAAAGTCTGAGGGTCATGAGGTCAGAAGGAAAACAGGTACAGGGGCCCAAAATGAGGCCCTTTAAACTTCATGAGTACCAAAGATGCCTCGGTGCCTTAACCACCAAACACCTCTTAGGGAAAAGAGCTTTCTTCTCTTCATTAAATGAGAAACTCAGTGAAGGGAACACAGAGTGCTAGGCTTTTTTCGTGGGACTCTTAAACAATTGGCACTTTGTTCCTTTTTTTCCCCCCATGCAGTATGTATTCATGCAAGTAGTGATTGCTTTGAATAAAATTCATTATATAAAGAATCAAAAAAATTACTTTAGCTGTTGGTGATGGTGAGTTTTGGGGCTCCCTGATTAAAACAGTCTCCTGTAATTTTTCCAAAGCATAGTTATAAAGTGAAGCTCTTATTGCCTAAATATTTTTCTGCAAAAGTAGGATGGATGTAGGATGGCATAAGAATTCTTGTAAAAGTAATCAAAAAAGGTTAATAGGAGCAATACATAAGAAAGTGAACAAAATTTTTAGCAATGACACTAAATTCCATTGCTAAGAAAACTTCAAGTCTGAAACTTTAGAATTCAGAAATCAGAGGTCAATTACATGTTGACAAGTCCACAAAATGTACATCATCATCCGTCTACCAAATCATATGATGGTTTTTTTTGATGTACTAACAATAAGATTTGCTTGCATGTTTCATATAAAACTGAATACAAAGCATAGTAATGATGAGGCAAAACATATGGAATGAATTTGGGGAAAATCTGAAATACTAATTTGCAATTATTGTAGGGACAGGATTCAAACTTTTGCATTTAATGTCTGACTTACAGAAAAATTCTAAAAAGAAAAAAAAAAGCAGCCCACAAACTGTGAGAGTTTGACAGAAATAAGATAGCTCCAAGGGCGGAAGGTATCCTTAGGAACCAAGTCTTCCTCAGGTGTGCTCATTTCCCACCTGCCCGCTGATGGGCATGAGACACAGGATGGAGGCAATCTTCTGGGTTACATCTTCCACTGGGTCCTGGGGGGCCCTGGGGCCCTGGAGTACCTGGTGAGCCTGGCAAACCCATAGCTAATGAAAAAAAGGATCCCATTAGAATGCAGAGCACATACTATCCATTCTCGTTTCCTACAGACAACATGGATCATGTGTTAGGGAGATAGCATCACTGTTACCTGAAGTCCCAGGAATACCTGGCAATCCAATTCCAGGTTCACCTCTTTCTCCCTTTTGTCCTCGGTAGCCTAAGGGAGAGATAAAAAGAGTTGGAAAAAGTAAGAGTGTTCTATGGCAACATAACCCATACAATAACCATTTTCAGAGTCATGATGTTTATGTGATTTTTTTTACTTAACATAAATCATATATTAGCCATCTGTTCTGCATTAAGCACATATTTAGTTAAATATCAGATTAGTGTGATAAGACAATGAGGATCTTAAAAATACATAACTAATACAAAATGTCCAAGTAGTCAAATTCTTGATAGATTTTTTGCCAATGAAATTGATACTGAACTCAAATTGATCATTTGTATCTTTTTCAAATGACAATGACAGGTGTATGAGTCCTCTTCAATAGAAATTCTGACTGGAGGCTAGGTATAGGCTAAATAAAAGAAGAACACTGAAAAAGTTCTGCTTAATATTAGGACAAGATATTACAAGGTTCTGAACCTTATCCTATCAAATAAAGGAAATGAAAGGAACAAACAGCTCAGGATTTCAATAAATGACAGCAAGAGTACATGTGAGTCAGCTCATCTTGAGTCAGGTCTTTGTTCAAATTGCTGACTATAACAACACAGTATCTTTTACAATAAAACTAGAACAGCAATTCCGTGTTTTAACATGGCAGTTTATAAATCCAAAGGACCAGGAACTTCACCAATGCTAGAGAACAAGGGGAGATTGGGGGATCCTCCCAAGCATACTTCATCATCTTAAGATACTGTAGCAAGGCTGGGGGTGTAGCTCAGTAGTAGAGCACTTGTCTAGCATGTGCAAGGCCTTGGGCTCTATCTGTCCCCAACACACACACACACACACACACACACACACACACACACACTTAACAAAAATGAATTTGGTCTAAGACCTGTGTACATGTTAAGATAAAATCATTCTGGTTCTAGAATATACTTCTTGTTGCCTGAGCTAGACATTTCAAGGCAATTTGTACCCTAGGAGTCCTTACCTGTGCTTTAAAAAAAGCCCCCAAATATGTTTATATTTTTTATATATTGGCATTCACATGATAATTTGAAGAAAAGGTTCTGAGCTGTAAGAGTTTCACAGTCATGGTAAATAGTTTTTATTTCTGATTTTTTTCATGTTTATACAATAGCTTAAACATTGTTCCTAGTCTCAAATGAACACGACAATCACACAGAACCATGCAGAAACACAGGAAGGATCTAAGTAGGACAGCATCTCAGTAGGAAACAGTAGGCCCTAACTTGGCTGTGTTTTGTCATAAAAGTTTGTCATTACAACAGAACATGTCAGGAGGAGAAAATTTAATCTCCCTATGAATAGCACATGTGATGTTTTTTCCCCCATGGCTGTTGAGAGTTAGACATCAGTTTTTGGGTTGTCATTGTCAATTCTGACTTGACCATACAGTGTACACATTATCTAAGTCACAATAGCAATGTATCACCACACAGTTATATTTTTGCTTTACAGGTGTGACCTGAACACGAACATGAACATAATAGAATAACAGATATATGATAAGGAAATATATTGGGAATACATAGATCAGGATATTTCACAAATTCATATCTGAAAACTATGTTAAAGATGTTCAATAAAATCCTAGATCCTAGAAAGAACAGTGGCTTGAACATGGGGCAAAATGTCCTAAGTTGATACATATTCAAATTTTCAAATTTAAAATAGTTACAGGATTTCTTTAAGTGGCTTTCATTTAACTTATGTGAACCACAAGGAAGAATGTACTTAGGGCCACTTGAAATCACCATTCCAAATCCATTATTTAAACATTTCTGGAGTAAAATAACATTTATTATCTGAGGTTTATTTAATAGGCCTCACTATCACATAAAAATTGTCAAGTTGACCCTCAAGCTATCTCAGTAAATACTTAATAGGCTAAAAAAGAGGAAGAAAGAAAAATAAGAAAAGACATACGAATTTTTGATTAATAAGAGGATTAACAAGACTGTGACCTAATTTGAAGTGAAAAATATCTCCGTAAATACAAAAAAACCCTGCCTATTTGTTTTTGCATAGTTTAAATTCAATTTTCAGATTTTAATATAATGCAAAAAATACATTATTCCACATGGATTACGGGGCATATGGCGTCAAAATGATAATTTGTATATTTGTATAATAAGGACATGTTTACCCTCCTCCTGTCAAATGTAACAATTTCTTTGTACAAATTTCTCAGTTCATTAGGTTAATAACTACCTGTTAGTAACAGATAAAGCCACTGAATTACACAGAGTGTTTTCTACTCTTGAATTTCCTAATAAGGTCCCAAACTGCTATAAAGCCATAGGATCTTATTTTATAATTGCTTCATAACCAACTGTCAGATATAAGTGCTAATAAAGTCATTACATTTTCTCCTTTTCTAGGATTTAGCTTTTTACTTCTTTAGAGTAGGCCTCTCTTTAAATTTGGAAGAGGCTGGTCTATCTCCAAGCAGACCTATATTTCCATAGATCACAAGTACACAGTGTGATAATTTGACATCACTGCAGCTTATATAGGAAGGCAGAAACAGAAAAGCACTGTCCTAAAGGATGTAGAGGTACTGGTCATTGGTGAAACATGGTGCTTGTTGTAAATTTTCAGGAGGTAGACTGTATTTATTACCAGTAGGGAGATTTTAGTTTTTACTCCAGAGATTTACTTTTAAATTTATATATATATATTTATATATATATATATATATATATACACATACATACATACACACATATATATATATGTATGCATCTATATGAATATTGGACAAAGGAGGCCAGAAAAAGGGTACCATTGGCATTTTGGAAGAATAATTCTTCATGTGGGGGGGACTGCCTCATGTCTTACAAGTTGTTTAGCTTCTCTGGTTCTGGTCTACTAATTGTTGGCAGTACCCCTCAATCATTGTGCCCACACTCACAAAAGGTCCTGCTGCTAACATATTTGAAAGGTCAAATCTATACCAGTTACATAAACTATCCTATGGGCCATCAGATTACAAAAACCAGGTTTCTCTTCACTTATAAGCCAATAATAGCTAACTTCTAAAAGTTAAAAAATAAAAACAACTACTCCCATAATATCTTTTTTAAAACTGATGGAGGGCATATGGATGAGTCTTTTTCTCCCTCCTACTAACCTACGTGTGAGGTGAAAGAAATAAGACTTTCAAATGTGTATTTATTCCTCAGTGTTTTCATAGTGGCAGAGAATCAGTGGAGCAGTCGTGTTTTGAAATGAGTTTAAGTAAAATTATTTCTCAAAAAACTCATCCAAGAAATTAAGTGTTAGGAGAATTTGCCTCTCCTTCTTTTTTTTAGAGAGAACCTGCCTGGATCTTGCTTCTCAGGACCTCTTTGATTCTAATGTAGCACATTCTCACTCACCTGTTGGAGCACCAGCCATCAGGCTGGGTGCTGCCCACCTAAGGGGCGAACTCCAGGGCAAGTTCTCCTCTCAAGGCACAGTGAGAAGGCAATATTCAGACCCCAACAGAATGGCTAAAATAAAACACTCTGCAAATGCTTTTGAATTGAAAAAGACAGCAACAATCACCCCTTTGAGAGTATAGAAAAAAATGCAAAAAGGTGACCCAACTTGGAATCTTAATGCTCTTCATTCCTTAAGAAGATCAAGGTGCTGAAAGGGGACCCACAGGCTTTCATTATCAGAGTCTCAGTAGGAACAGTACCTCCCTTTTTCAACCTGGATTGTGTACTTCTATTTGTCACACATCGATTTTCTCATTGCTTTCTACAGTCTTCTGCTTCTTAGAATAAGCACAGGAAACTTTATGAGGCCCCTTTATGTGTTTGCCTTTCCCTATCCATAAGGAGCAAATAAAGGACTCCATTGTACATGTTTCAAAACAAACCACTTAATTTTAAATGATGGTTTTCTTTCCTTACAAACACTGAAAGAACCATATGTCGTTTAGAAAATTCACAAAAGCCACCATTAATAGAACTCACGCATGGGCAGAACACACTGCACCACATATAGAAGCCCCACTTCCTTTCCCTTTCTCTGCTGTGTGACCCTTCCTCAAACTCCACTTTACTGTATCAGGGATGAAGAGGACCATTTCAGACAATAGCATTTGACGTTCTCATGGTCACTAACGAAGATATTTCATATGCATTTTTTTACTTCCTTTTCAAGAAAATTTTTAAATCTCACAGCAAAACTTTGAAGTCATAGCATGGTTTTATCTTCTGAGCACTTCATATTTATTTATCCACCAAAGAAAAACTCTTCAAATCCTTATGCCCTCCTGTAGAGGTACTAGAAATCAAGCAGCAAGAAACCTTGTTTTCTTTTCTTCTTCTTTTTCATTTTTTTCCCCCAGTAGATTTCTCTGTGCCTTTAGATAGGATTATCAGTACAGCACTAATTATAGGCAAACTTCTATAAAAATGAATCTCATTTTTCTTTACAAGATTTTTTTTTCCTGCTGCTTTGCTGCAAATTTAACAAATGATGAAAAGGTTGAGGAGACAACTAAGAAGTTATGTGTCTGTTGCCAGAAACCCATTTAGGACAAATGTTTGGTCAATTTTAGTAAACCTTGGTTTTAAAAAAATTGGAAATCATGTGGCAAAATCTTTCAAATTCAAGAATTGCTTGCAAAGTCCTATGAAAAGTTCAAGTACTTTATGATGTCTCCTAGACAGAATGGCATAGACATCCCTTGCAAAAGGGAGGGCAAGTGGAATAATGAGCAGAAGTCTTGTTTCCATAAATGTCACTAATACTGCTGATTTGGAATTGCCTGTGACTGATGGACTTTTCCAACACCTAGGAGGGTTCCAGAAGCCATGGTTGTGTAGAACAGGTGACTCCAGTTCCAAAGAGGTTTTCTCTGGTCAGCCAATTTTCCATTGTTCCTGTTCTCTGAGATCACCAATGTCTGAAGGATCTGTCCAAAGTTTTTCTTCTATTGTTATTGACACTGCTTATCCTTCATGTGATCTGAGGTATCTTCAGGTGGGCTTTCAAGATCTTCACTCCAGTTCTCTTATATTCTGACTTCAAAACAGACCCAATAGGTGAAAGATAATAACCACCCACCCACCAATGGTAGACACATAGAGATTACCTCTGATTTCACACATTCCTCTTTCCTTTAACAATCTGTAAAACATTCCTATGATCTAAGAGAAAGGTAGGGTATGTGTGTGTAGTTTAAGAAAACTAGAGTGATCATGAAGCTGAGCCTTGAGGCCAGATCGAATATCCAACTCCCTGTTAAGCTCACCTGACACTTGTCTTCCAAAATAATCAGATGAAGTTTGTTTTCTTTCATTAGGAGTCTGGTGATTAGCAAAAGGGCCTGGGTCAACCACTCTAGTTCATTCCTTGTGTAATAGGTTGGGAGCTGCACATGAGCAAACTAATCAGTGACAAGAATAGCCAGAGGAAATAATGATCTTTGCAGAACTGAAAAGCATCTGGTGAGGAGGCAGTTACGACCAGATGGGTGTCACTCGGTCACAAACCTCCACCTGTGAGAAGGTGCCCACCAGTCTGTGATAAATCATCTTCTATAACTGCCCCTAAATCAGCTTCAGGGCAAGATGGCCCTCCATCTTCTAATCAGCTAGCTCTACTTAGTACAAGTGATTTCTCTACCACTGCCTTGCTCCTAGATGACTAAGGGGCTTCCATTCTGGGGTAAGTAAACCTAGCCTTTCCACTAACAAATCTGGCAGCCAGCCAGGAGTAGGGGCTCCAGTCGACCTCGGAGGGAATATCTCCTGGGTTAAGTCTCCCCAGCTGCCATGGCCTCTTGCCTTGGGGGCTGTCCTCTGGCTTTCCGGTTCTGTTGCCCATAGTAGCCTCCAAATGCTACTTGCTATGGAAGAGAGGAGTTGTCTCCGGTAATTCAAGGGACAAAATCTAGAGTCACCTAGGGATGTACCACTGAAAACTCTCTTCCCCTCCATTTGGCTTACAGAGAACTCTCTAGGATTAGGAATGGTTTCAGGACTTCACCCAGAGTCTCAGAACTGGTTCCCTGGTGTCTGGGGTCTTTCGTTTTTGGTAGGCAGGGCTGCTGGGGTATATCTGTGCTTAAGGTTGGCAAGATAGTTCTGCTAAATCTGGAAACCAGTTCACTGGTGTCTGCTTTTCTCTGTGTCTACTCATCTCTGTATATAACTGGAATGGGGAATGTGATGTGTCACTAAGTGGAAACTGTTGGGGATAATTTTGAGTAGATGGTGCCTGAAAATGGATTCTGGAGAATTTAATTCAAACTGGCCAGGGTGAACTGCCCCCAGAATTCCTAAGAATAACTTTGTGGGAGAACTAGTTGTCTCCTCAGGTTCTCTGGTCTTGCCTTTTGTGGTATATACTTACTGAATTTGGCATTTCCTTATCCAAATTTGTGACTCTTATAAGCCCAAGTCTATTTGACCACTTTGCTGATTGCTGACCATATTCTACAACATAACCTTATCAGAATAATTTAGTCAAGACAAATTTAAGATCATGTCTCTTATCAAGTTGTTGTCAATGGAACAATTTATTATTTTGTTTTGCTAAGAGTTTCTATCTACAAGCTCTATTAAAGCAGAAGGATTCTAAAAATTTTCCCCAACATACTTTGGACCCAGGAGACTATTTGTAGTAGAATCTTCTAAGACACTGCTTAGTTTCCTTACAATTCTAAGATGAGTCTTGTCTAACTTAGAGCTTAAAGGATGTCTAAACATAAGATTTGTTGCTAATGATATGAAAATGTACATTGCTGTTATTGTTGTACTAAATATTAAAATGCATTTATAATAGTAGATAATTAAATTTGAAGAAATTTAATTTTTTCAAATATTTGACTTCTAGAAAGTCAAATATTAACAAGCTATTTTCTCTATATAAAATATATAGCTATTTTCTCTATATAAAATAAATATATATTAACTGTAATTAGCATGTTGTAAACACTGGGGGTTAAAAATTGGTAAACAAATATTACACTTGAAGACTTACCTTGGGGTCCAGGGTCTCCTGGTGGCCCAGGTAACCCATCCTTTCCTGGTGGTCCAGGCCTCCCATGAGCTTGAGCAGCCAACATTGCTGCTGGCAGCTTGAGTTGGGATAGAAACACAGCCATCCTCTCTTCATTTGTGAAAGAAAAAAATAATATGTGATAAATATTTTTGTCAAAAATTTTCAAAAGATTCATATAAAATTTAAAATTCAAATTGAAGCACATCTGATTTCTGACTGCTAACTGTATTTGAGACATAAAATTAATTACATAAGGTTGTTTAAATATAGAACAGTTGTGTCACTCAGAGGCTCTGAATTTTCAGGGCTCCTGAGATGAAGTAGGCTAGTGGTTAGAACATTAGTCTGAAAGTTAATTAACTTCTGGTTATGACTTATGGAGAGAATTTAGATCCACATTATGGTTTTAATAACTTTAAAGCACTTTGCAAAAAATGTTGTAAATGTGTGGTGATTTTAAAATATCTTCACAAATTCTTCGACACTCCCAAAGTTGGGAGTGAGGGTTGAATTTTCTTATGACCTCTGTTTTTTTTTGGTAATGGTGCTGGGGATTGAACCCAGGGCCCTGTGCATGTGAGGCAAGTATTCTAACAACTGAGCTATATCCCAAGCCTCTGAGTTTTCTTATGAATAGGAAAAAAAAAAGAACTAATAATGTGCAACTAGAGAAATAGCATGGCTTCCTAGTTGCCAAGGAAGCCAGCTGCCACGTAGTAAGAAGTCCCACATAGAGGGGAATTGATGTCACCTGCCAACAATCATGTGTATAAATTTGGAGGCAGATCATCCCCAATCAAGCCTTTAAATGACTGCAGCCCTGAATGACATCATGATTGCAACTTAATTATAGATTTGAAGCCAGAACCATACAACTAAGTAACACGTCAAGTCCCTGACCCATAGAAAATACAACCTAATGAATGCTTATTATTGTAAGCCACTGACATTTGTAGGTGTTTTCTTCTGTAGCAACAGGCAACTCATATAGTATATGACCATTATTATCCTTGAACAAAATTGCATTAATAATAAAGATTTGTTTATTGAAAATATTGCCATTAGCTCCACACTCACTTATGTCACTATTTATGCTTTATAGTGGACAAATATTACAAATTGTCAAAAACTAATTTATTTCTTAATAAGAGTATTTAAGATATCTTCTTATTCACTTCTGTTTGAATAAGGGCTCACTAACTAGAAATTCAATCAGGGTTTTAGTAGAATTTTCTAATTTGGCCAAAGGGGAAAAAAAAATCAGCATTGGTACAGAAGAGCATTCTCTCAATTCTAGCTGTAGGCACAGTGAAAACAATAAAATCCTTCTGTAAATTTCGGTGAACCTGAAAACACTGAAGCTAAGAACACACAAATTATGGGGAATTGACATTATTCAGAACACTTAAAAATGTTAACTAGATATACAAAAACCTTCTGTGAGTAAAATACTTTCTAAGCAAGCAAAAATGATTTCTCATTGTCCTTGTCCTTTATTCTCCAAACTGCCTGGTGCCTAACTTTGTTCTTCTAGATCCTGGAGAAAGGATTCAGGCAGAAAGAAAGCACTCAAAGCTCCTCAATGCAGCTCAGCCATTGCTGGTGAAAGCACCTTTACCATGGGCATCTTGGGGGGCAACTATTAATACTTATTAGTCAGAGGGCTTTAGATGAAAGCATATGTGATACAATTAATCACTGGGTTCTTTAGATGAAAGCATAAGAAGTTGGTATATTCATGAAATTTAAAGGATATGGAAAATAAAGTCTAAGGAACATATATAGGAAAATGTAAGAATTTTCAATTTAAAATAAATTTCTAAACAAGATGTATTAGTTAAATTTGCTAAATATTCTTTCTAAGCAGGACTTCGCATGACAGATTTTATACTTTCTGCTTTAATTGCTCTTGTTGTGGAATAAGGGAAAGATAATCATTTAAATAAGAACTATTGTCTGTTTTTATAAGCTTAATATACTCTGAAGAGTATTTGCTGATAATTAACAGGTTAGAAATAGTCTGATAGAACAGATTAGGAATCTGTTATATAATTACAAGATATTTTTATTCAATTACTTTTTTGAATAGCCACTTCAGAATTTCACTTATCACTACTGAATTCTTGGTTATTAATCCCATATAGACTATTATTGAGTTAAATTTTACCTCATAAGCATATTCAATATTTTCCAACTATCTGGAATTAATTTTGATAGTGTCATTAATTCAATCAAGATCTATAATAAATATAATCTATCACTGGGTTCTTTATTTAAACTTGTTTATTTGTATATTATCACATATATGCATAAATATAAGCTTGGATACACACATGTATGTATATCCAGGCTAATTTATAGATAATTAGGTTTAAAATAGAAAACTGGAGGAAGGCATAGCCTTGTCCTGATAAATATTAATGATGTTTATTTTCACATAGAATCTTCAAAAAGCAAAATCTCTTAGTAATTCAAATGATTTCATTTGTAAGATATAAATACAATTTTTCAAGAATACATGGAATATCATAAGAAATCTATGTAAAATAATCAGCCTGGGTTTCCTTCAGATAAATCTTCCAGAAGCGTTTCTTACAGATGAAGTTAGTGGGTTTTTTTTCCTTCTAAATAAAGACCAAATGATGGTAACACACTAGGAACTGCTGGGTAGAAAACACATAGGCCAGATCATGCAGACCTTCTAAGAAATTACTTCAATTCCCTTCAATCTTCTCACTCAGTTTAGTTCATTTACAAAGCTGAACTGCAAAGTTATGCTTCACTTAAGCAAATATGTATGTTTTACAAATTTGATAAATTGCTTTGGAGTGAAACTTGTTTTACTATGGGCTATCAATAAAATATTAGAAACAATGTAGGCCCTTACACTACTTAAGAAAGTACAAAAAAATTTCGTAGAGAATTAAGGGGGAAATCCCAACATATGTTAAACATTAGCTGTATGATCAGAGAGTAACTACACTTACATCCCAAGTCAGAAAGGAAGCAAAATGGAAACATAGATTTAATGATGACTGTGAGACAATGTGGATCTGATAGTGCTCATCCCAAGGAGTGACATTAAATTATCTTCCTTATAATAAAATGTTTATCACCTGAGTCTCTCCCTGGGATGTTTTGTTGATGTTAATATATTTAATTCCAATAACAGATGAAACAAACATGTAATTAACATGCAATTAGTTTTGCAAATCATGTTGAATGTAAATTAATCATATTATAAACTGCTTTTTGAAGCAGCAAATTCGATGTTCATACACTGAAATGTGTAGTATTGTTTTGCACTTCAAATATAGTCAAATATATAATTTAAGTGTGTTTGAATGCCTTCAATGTCTAAATATAAATATTCACAGTACTCATTTTTCCTCCTTAATGTATGAATTGAATTTACAAGTATTTTGCTTTGGGTGGTTTTTTAATATTTTTAGAAAAACAATTTAAATCTAGCTGTAAATTATCTAGCTTTAAGATACATTCAGAAATAGTCATTTAGCATAAGGCTAATTGCCTCTTCTGAACCCTACCCTAATGCTCTATAATTTAAAATAATATGTTTCTGAGCATCGAAATGAATTGTAAAATCCTGTTATCTTAATTGCCTTTCCTCTGTTTTCAGGGATCTTCAGTCAATTAAACTGTGTTTGGCTATGCTTTCTAATGAGGCAGGAAATTAAAGAGTTTAGATTAGAGGTGTACATAAACCAAACACACATGCCATCTGTCAAGGTAGAACCACAGTAGTCTAACAAACAGACTTCCTTGGAAAAAGACATCAATGTGATGATAAATTACATTATTCAGAGTAGGAAGAGACATTCAGATATCTTCTGGTCCACATCTCTTCTCTGTTTCACAGAGGGAATTTGACTCTTTGAAAATCATCTTTTTCTCCTAATGCCCAATGTTTAATTGCCCATTTTCTTAGTATAACATCATCTTATTTTCTTCTGTTACTCCTTTATGCAAATAGTAGTTAATGAATATTTACCTTGGGAAATCAGTCATACACTTGATAATGTTGTTACTTCTTAGTCTTAAGGTTAAATAACTTTTATTCATATGCTTAATAATTTGGTAAATCAGTTTTTGGTTCCATTATTCCAGAGTTTTCCCATATGTCTCTTAAATGTGGAAACCAAAATTATATATAATTTTCTTCTAAGGGGAAGAAGTATCAGAAGAGTAATTTGCTATGATATCTAACTTTTTAGTTTCATTTAAGCTGTTAATTCAATAGTATCATGTGGATTCACATTTATTTTGTGGTTCATCGTCTCCAAAGGTTACTACTACATTTATTTTTGGTATACTACTTTGCTCCTTTGTAAGCATGTTGTTTTGAAACGTTGTTATGGGTATAGATGATGGATTGAACACATGATTTTTTTACCTCCTAAATACCTGAAAAACAATATTAAGAACTTTTAGAGGCATAATACAAGAATGGGGAGAATATAAAAGGAGACAATAGCAACAAAATTTTGGGACTTGAGAATCTGATGGCTGCGGGATGTGTAGCTTAGACTTGAACTGAACCTCTATACTGAAAGTTGGGAAACAACCTGGTTAAAGTCACAGAATCCCAGGAATTGGTAGTATAAGTTCCTCAGAAATTGAGGTTAAGGGAGAATTGGTTGAAAGTTTGCATCGTAAGTCCTTAAACTCCATTTTCTACTCTATATAGTTGGGCAGTTGTCCCTCCCTAGCCCCAGCTAAAGCCTGAACATTTATTTGAAAAGCACAAATAGACCATCTCTGCACTGGGACCCCAGATGCTGCTGAGACTCTGGATTCAATATCAAAAAAAGGGAAATAAGTGTACATTTATATGCTTCCTGCAGAATTGGTAACCAGGCTGGAAATGGAAATGTCTCCACTGAGGAATCTGACCTCTGAGAGACATAGATAATGAAATTGAGGTCCTCTAACTTAAAAGCCCAGCTAGCTACTTTAAAGTGAAGACCTGCTGTTCAATCACAACTTCAATCAATTTTTAAAAAATATTTAATTTTTAGTTGTAGTTGGACACAATATCTTTATTTTTATTTTTATGTGGTGCTGAGGATCAAACCCAGGGCCTTGCA